TTTTGGCAGAAAGATTTATTGTAACACATTCCTCTTTGGGCCCTCCACCACAGCAAAATTTTAAAGTAGCAGCAACAAAGTGATGTTATTTCATACCAACTATATGGGGTTACATGGCGTCCTCACATTTGCATATTGAAATCCTAACCCTTGGTGGCTTAGAATGTGAACTTATTCAGAAACAGGTTGTTGAAGGTATAACTAATACAGTTAAAATGAAATGCTATTGGAGTATAGTGGATGCCTAACCTGATATAACTAGTGACCTTGTGAAAAGAAGTTTGGATACAGAGCATACATACAGCACACACAGAAAATACATACACCCTAACAGTGCTCATGCATAGATGCACACACAAACACACATACATGTACACACACCACATAAAACGTAAACACACACACAACACAAACATATACGCACCACACAGAACATGTACACATAGCTTGCACACACACACCACCACCACCACCATCTCACAATAAAGGCAAATACCGGGCTGTTACATCTTTAAACAAAGAAGTGACAAGAATTTCCAGTAACTGGGGGTGGTGGTGTTGGGAGTTAGAAAAGGGGAAGTCGGACTCTGTTAGAAGAACATAGTCTTTGAAGGAACTCACCCTCACTTTCAGATTTCCAGTCAAGTTGGGCTTGGTTTATGTAGTTTGTAGCAAGCTCACAGGCTGATGTGCTCTCACATTGGCAGAGCTTAGAAGGCTGAATGGCCCCAGGTTGGGGTGTATGGAGGGATACAGAGACCCTCATTCTTCTGGAATAGATGAAGCTTGTGTGTCACTATTTATTGCAATAATAAGAGCAACAACAAATAACAACAACAACAACAACAGCATATAAGGACATATTTGCACCAAGGCTCACATATAGAGGCCAAAAGGCAACTTGATGGAGCTGGTTCTCTCTGTCCACCTTTAAATGGGTTCTGCAGATCAAACCCAGGTCCTTGGGTTTGCATGGCAGGTGCATTTACCCACTGAGGTAGGGATCAAATGCCGTCACCTGGCTGTGCAGCAAGCGCTTTTACCTGCTGAACCATCTGGTAAACCTCCAGTGCGTGCCAGCTCTTAAATGCAATTTGACATCAAGTGAGGTAAACTTGAAAGCTTGTGTCCTCCTGGGTACATAAGCTGTGTGTTGCATACTGGTGTGCTGTTTCATTCATCCATGGGTCACACATGCAATGGGAGCCCTATAAGATTATAATAGAGCTGAGACATTCTTATTGACTGTTGACATCACGGTCATCTGGTGGCTCAATGTATTATTCATGTTTTAACAGATCTGCTGCACTGATGATCATGTAACAATACGGCATGTACCTTATGTACCTTCACTTTGTGTAGTTCAAACAATCCTTCGTGGGAATCCACCACCTCTGGCTCTTACAGTCTTTCTGCCCCCAGTTCCAGGATGGCTCCTGAGCCTCGGGAGGAGGGGAGGTGATATAGATAGTTTTTTTTTAACTCTAAAAATTACACTGTAACATATGGATTTTACAATGACATCTTCATACAAATGCAACGTGTATTTTGTTCATATTTACCTTTGGTAGTTTCTGAAGTCACCTCTTACTGGTCCCCCTCTTCCTCCAAATGGTCTCCTTTCAACTTTCATATGATTGTATATCTAAGACAGTCTCACATAAGCCCATTAAGGGTGCACATAGAGTGACGGCCAATTGTTGCTTACAGTCTTACGGTAAAGGTGTTTGGATATAATCTGCCTGGTCATTTTTGGGTAAGTGGTGGAGGATGCTTCGGTAGAAGCAGATAAATGTTCTTCTTCTGATGTACAGGGAGATGAGGTACAGGGAGGTGATAAACTCCAAGCGTCCAATGGACAGATGAATGACTTTTACACCAGTGTGCAGTTTATATTAAAATGTGTGGGGCTGGGGGCGTGGCCCAGTGGTGGAGCCCCTACCTGGAATCCCCCCCAGTGAGGGGCTGGGGGGCGTGGCTCAGAGGTTGAGCCCCTGCCTGGAATCCCCCCCAGTGAGGGGCTTGGGGGCGTGGCTCAGAGGTTGAGCACTGGTCTAGAATCCACCAGTGAGGGATGGAGATGTGGCTCAGAGGTTGAGCACTGGTCTAGAATCCACCAGTGAGGACCTGGGGGTGTGGATTTGTTGTTGAGTACAGTACCTGTTCAGCGTCTGCCACCGAGCTGCTTCGGATGTGGCTCAACCTTAGCAAGCTTGCCTCGAACCTACCAGTAAGGGATGAGGCTGTGGCTCAATGGTTAGAGCACTTGCCTTATCCATGGAAGGCCTTGGTTCAATTTCTAACATGGCAAAAAATACTAATAGAAATAAAATTTAAAAGACTCATTTTTGATGTGTACATGGCAATGCCACTACCAAAATTGTGCTGTGGTTAGAGAGTTATGGCTTTGGCTCTAGGTCTTGACAAGATTCAAGAAACATATGCCAAA